GGGGCAGAGTGAAGCTATCTCCCTGAGCCAGCAGCACACCACTGATCCAGTAACAGCAACAGATCTGACAACCCAACACATCACTACATATCAATTCTAAAGGTCACATTTTTCTTTCAGCAATCTAATTGCTGAGCTTTTAGCTATCACACCTGTGCATGTGTGATCTGATTAAACAGAAGCTGAAGCCGAGAGCTACTATTCTCCTTTTCAAGAGTTACAAAAAAAGCAACAGGGTCTGCCTAAGGCTCTGAGCAGCGTAGGCAAACCCAAGACTCACTGCCTGGGTCTGAAGGGCTGATGCTCAGCAGAGCCAGCCTCAGCTCCTGAGGCTCAGGGAAGAAGGGTGGCAGCAGGGCCAGCCAGGAGAGGAGAAAGGTAATCAGCTTGCTGCTGTTGGAGGCTAGAAAGCTGGGATCTGGGAGCCTGTCCCTGTTTGGGTGGGCAGCGAGGGGCAGGCAGTCCTTGCCTGGCACCTGCAGCCATCCAGGCAGCTTTGCTGGGGACTGTCACTTCAGTAGTCTTGTGCCATTGGCATGCCTGGAGCCAGCTCTAATAACTAGGATTTAAGGAAAGGAAATGTCTTAGGGCAATTTAGTGAAATCCAACAGTTAAATAATCCCTAAGAAAAAGCAGCAAGTATGTGGCTGAGGCTGCATGGCTTCCCCTGATACTGAAGGTGAAACCAGAGGCATTAAAATTTATGAAAGCACTCACCTCCACCTAGGGAGGTGAATGCTGTTCTGGGGTATCACACCACAGGGCTGCCTGTGGTGCTCCAGGACATGTGGAGCAAAACCAGTGCTGTTGGGTTATACGTTCCCTTACAAAGCAAATCTGAATGCTGCCATGAGGTGAGTAGAATTCAGGTGCTGCTGCTTAATTTGCTTCTATGAGTGCCTGTAAGGAAAGATTTGACTTGCAACACACTTGTGTTCAACTTGAATTGTGTAACAGCAGCTGCAGGGGTAGTGGCTTACAGAAAAAAACTGCTTCTCTGTCTTTGGTATTCCTCCGGTTTCACTGGACTTGACTGAGGAGCTACAGTTTCTGGTTGACTTTAATTAGATTGATTAATATTTAGCATTACTGGAAATACAAACCTAATTCATAAGCTGCAGCATTTTCAAAAATGCTGGGGTTTTGCTATAACGTGACCAAGCATTGCTTTTTGATTATGATTTAGTAGTAGAGATGGAAATAGCAGTCCTTTCTATCTGCAATATTCCTGAGGCCTCCCTGACAGATAAGCTGTCTTGGTTTGAAAAGACAGGAGGCTGTGAAGGAAGGCAAAAAGCCTTCTGTGAAATGGAAAAGGTAAACCCCCTCCTTCCGAATTATCACAATTTCAGAATTAAAAGGGCTCTCAGGCATAGATACGGGAATGAGAATAACAGTTTTTTCCTAGGAAGAAAAACACCTAAATAACAATGTAATTTAGCACAAGCAAAAAAAACCACTGGCAGAGTGAGAAAAACCTGGCACCCTGAGAAGTCAGGGTGTTGATAGTAGTCCAGCCAGATGGTGGCTGCTCCTCCTGGAGCGGCGATCTGCAGAAGGGTGTAGATCCTTTCTGAAAACGTGGAAAAGGAGCAGCTGGGCCTTGGTTCCTGATTCCTCTGGGAAATCCAGCGAAGAAGGCTGTCTGTGGTCTCAGAGATGCTTGTTTTATGGTGGCAGGGATGCTTGGCTCCTCCCTCTGGGTGGAGCATCTCCCAATGGGATGATGTAACTAATCTTACCAGCCACAGTGAGTAATTCAATAGCCCATTAGCAGGAGATTATCTTCCTGTCAGTGTCATTGTTCTTGAAAGAGATAAGAAAAACTGCCTAACCCCCAACAGATGGCAAAAATAGAATACGTGCTTATTTTACAAGCCAGGACATTATCTCATAGGAAAGAGTGCTATGGCCAGCAGCACACTGAGCTGTGTCACCATCTCATGTGGGCATGATCCTGCTCTATTTGATGTTTCCAGAAAAGCCATAAGAGGTTTTTCAGTCTATTTGGGTTTGGTGCACCTTGGAATTTAATCTCTCTCTAATCTGCTCCTGCAGACTATTTTTTTCCTTCTACTTCCAGGTGAAAAAAATAATGAGAGGGTATAGCAAGTGGAGGGAGTGTTAATAGCACCCAGTGCTTGGTGTGGGCCCTAGACTATAGGCTCAGTACCAACACACAGAGCTTCTTCAGCAGAATCAGTGGTTCCTCCTCTTGTTTTCTGTGGACACACAGTGCAGACCATTAAAGGCCTTTTTTGGATCCACTGCCAGTGTCAGCAAATCAAGGATCTCAATTAACACTGCTGAGACCCAGACACATGGTGGTAATGCTGCAAGGGCAGTAAGTGGCAGGGGGTGACATGTCCAGGATGTGACAAGCACAAAATGACACACACAGCATGTGCCAGGCACTTGGGTTTCACCAAGTAACCTGTGCATGTTTGTGTGTGCCACCCAGCCGCAGATAGGATGATGGATCTGGGAACCATCCAGTGCGTTTAGTTGCAGATCCCACTGAAAACAAACACAACTTTGCAGACCATAAACTGGATGTATGTGAGAGATTCTGCTCCTGGAATATAACCACATACAGAGCAGTATACTGTGTTTGCAAGACCAGACCCATGAGAGCCAGACTGGGGTATCTGAGGCTCTGCAGGCTGTGAGCACCAGCCTGGCTGCATCCGCAACTGATGGCAGGCAGTAGAGGAGGACAGGCAGCGGGCGGGGGGCAGGCAGGAAGCAGGGCAGGCAGCAGACAGGTTAGCCAGGGCGGGCAGCGAGGGACAGGCAGCAGACAGGTTAGCCAGGGCGGGCAGCGAGGGACAGGCAGCAGACAGGTTAGCCAGGGCGGGCAGGGCGGGCAGCGAGGAGCAGGCAGTCTCTGCCCGGCGTCGCGGCCGCTGCAACGTCCCCGCCTGGCCGCTGGTGGGGTGCCGCGCGGGCCGGGGAAGGGCCAGGCCAAACCCCGGGGCTGTCAGGGCACGGCGCTATCCCGGGCACGGCGGCTCCGGCGGCCGCCCGGCTGCGCCAGCCCCGAGCGGTCCCGCCTCTCGCTCCGCTGCCCTCCTCCCCCGCCCCGCGGGTGTCGCGGAGGGGCCGCGGGGCGGGCTCCCGGCCGGGCTCCAGGGATGCGC